ACAAAATCCCTCCTGAGATGTGTGAAAACCTGGTGGCCAACTACAAGAAACGTCTGACCTCTGTGATTGCCAACAAGGGTTTTGCCACCAAGTACTAAGTTATGTTTTGCAGTTGGGTCAAATACTTATTTCCCTCATTAAAATGCAAATCAATTCATAACTTAGTACTTGGTGGCAAAACCCTTGTTGGCAATCACAGAGGTCAGACATTTCTTGTAGTTGGCCACCAGGTTTTCACACATCTCAGGAGGGATTTTGTCCCACTCCTCTTTGCAGATCTTCTCTAAGTGGTCCTCTGTAGCTCAGCTGGTAGAGCACGGCGCTTGTAACGCCAAGGTAGTGGGTTCGATCCCCGGGACCACCCATACACAAAAATGTATGCACGCATGACTGTAAGTCGCTTTGGATAAAAGCGTCTGCTAAATGGCATATTATTATTATAACATTTTTGACATGCGTTTTTCTGGATTTTTTTGTTGTTATTCAGTCTCTCAATGTTCAAATAAACCTACCATTAAAATGATAGACTGATCATGTCTTTTTCAGTGGGCAAACGTACAAAATCAGCAGGGGATCAAATACTTTTTTTTCTCACTGTATGTGTCCATATTCTTCATGAGTTTCTAGTGGATCGACCACATGGTTCAAGATAAATTAATGATAAAAGCATCTAATCAACACTAGCATTATTTTCAATTAACTCTGCAAGTCTTCCAAACTATTGACATTTTTCACAACTGCCACCATTTTGGCGCCAAAAGATTTACAACAAAGACATATTGACATAGTAGAATCAATCATTTCAATTAAGCTCGATGCAGTCATAATGATCATAGCCTGTATGTCAAGAGGGTTCCTCAAGGTTTTTTTGGGAACAGTGACGGTTCTATGTTTAACCATAATGACTCAATGAACCCTTTGAGCCCTTCAATGGTTCTTTGCAGTTCACAAATGGGTTCTTTGCTCTTTTAGTGATAATTAAAATGTAGGGGCGGTGGCTCATTTGAATATTTTGTGGCATGGTTTTCTCACGGCTCTTTAGGAAAGGGTTCTTTATAGCACCATAAAGGTTCCATTTAGAACCTTATGAGCATGGTTCTTTATAGAACCTTCAAAAAAAGGCTATGTATAGCAGCAAAAAGGGTTACAAGCCAAATAACCCTTATTTGGCACTATATAGAACCATTTGTTTTTTGTGTGTAGTAAATTATTCTCCGAATTCAATTTGTGATGAGAAGTTGATGTGGCCTGACATTTAGTCACATTATCATTATTCAGAGTTGTTTTACATTTACATTTCAGTCATTTAGCAGACACTCTTATCCAGAGCAACTTACAGTTAGTGAGTGCATCAGAGGGCTACTAAATAAATCTCCTTTGCGGGACTCCTGTGCGGGTCACTGTTGGGTTCCACATTCACATTCTCTGTACTTGTTGGCTTATATAAAAAACCATAATAGTCCCCTTTACTATAAATAGGCATTTGAATGAACTTTATATTAAATGGGAAGAGTGGCCTCACACTTCTGCTTGGGGGTCTTTCATAATAAATACAAAAAAACTGTAAATAACTAGGGTTAACCAAGCAGCATGGACGTTCTGCTGCATATAATTGCTTCATTGAATGGAATATGGGCCCCAATAATTATTTTGGGCTGTTGGGACAGTATCTAATGAAAGAGCCTTGCTCACTGGGTGGAAAGTGTTGACTGCTGGTAGTGCCAATTTCCTCCGCAGTCTGTGTCCGCTCTCCCCTTCAACCCCCCTACCCATGGAGTATAGCAATCACATCATCAGTGAAATTCCAATGTCCACATTTATCTTCTGGTCACTGCAGTCTCGTCTCCGGACACATTGATTAGGCTACATAGACTAACTACAGTGGCTGCTAAGATTTGTTGGTGATTTAAGAAGAGAAGCACACTTTCTCATGAGACTGAAGATGATCAACATGTACATTTGTATGAGAAACAGTTATTATCTGCCTATTAGGTGTAAGTTAACTAATAGTTCCATTAAAAAGCCCTCATCAGCCATGTATTTTGTGTATTCAGCACTGAAATCAGTTATCAAACTCAAGGACTCCTCTCACAAGGACTTGGGAGGCTGAGGTCACATTCCACATCAGTTACAAAAGAGTGTATCCTCCTAACCATACCTCTCCAATAATAGTTAATTACTTTTAGATTGTGGTAGAAAATATCATGCAATGGCAAATTATTGTACTGTAGCCTAAATTGGCATTCATAACCTATTTTTTTATGTCTCTTTTTTGGCTTGTTAACCTGCATGGTTGAGAGGTTTAACTACTGTTTGATGTTGTCTGATCGCTCCCTTTGGTATATATATGCAATGAACCGTTAGTGCTGCTAAAAGCAAAACACTAAAAAAGACATTTGCTGTTTTTTCCTCAATGCTGCCACTACCATTCATTCTTGTGCCATGGCCAGAGCAATTAAATATGTTTTGGAATGTGATGCCAGAGCTCTTTATAAGAGCCCCGGCATGACATGACCAACAGAGTCTCTTTTCTGATATCTCCAAATGAAGATTATGCTGCCAAGGCCTACTCCAAAAGGGCATCGAGAAAGTGTCCCGACATCGAGTCAGACAAAACCTTTATGGTTCATAGAGACTATTCTAGCTCCTTTAACGAAGCCCAGACAAACACAAAACAAACGGCAGCCAGTGGTTTCGAGCAATGGTAAAAAACAAGGGGAAAGATTTGATAAAAAGGGGAACTTTGTAAATACTTTCCCATATCTCTGGGCTGGCCAAATAAAATAAACCGACTGGCGGATGATGCCTTGGGAGTCCGGTTGGGAGTCCGGTGTTCTGTTGAGTTGTGTAGCTTTTCAAGCAGGATAGGAGGGCACCCACGTTCCCATGAAGGTCATGCTGCCTCAGTGAGAGGGAGACAACTAGAAGCCTTGGGCAGGTCTTATTGACTGGCGTGGAATTCAAATTGGCCCAATCACTCCTCACCTCACCTCTCCACTGTGACAGCCCATGTGTGGTAAGGTCTCTTCTTGCACACTACCTACACCACAGTATTTCTTGGCTTGAATTCAGCCACTAACATCTGTGAACAGATATTGAACAGCTACAGAGTAAGAAGGAGATTGGGATAGGATCAGGTTTACAGGTTAGTCAGAGCTTAGTCAGACCTATTGTATCTTCACATTAAGTAATGTGTTGTGACTGAACAGTCTCCTGGTCAAATGTGTGGCATGATTGCACATCACTGGGTGCTTCTCCTTCTCTAATTGCTGTTGTCAACAGAAATTTGAATAGAGGATTTGAATGGAATATTCTTGACATAGACCAAATAATATATTTTGGGGGGGATTACAACCCAAATTTAATGAATTACAACCTGGCATTAAAGAGCAGCTAGATAGACAGGATGTCTCTCACTCTCCCAGTCTCCAAAGGTTAGGAGTCAGAGGAGGCTGTATTTCTCCCGACATAGCTCATTGTTCTTGGGAGTGCCTTGGCCTGTGATGCCTTGGCCTGCGGTGCCTCAGAGCGACTGCTGCACATCTTCCTGGGCTTGGGTGTCTAATTGTGTGTACAGGGTCATAAATCAAGCCCACCGCTGGTTCATCTCCTTCCAAAGAGGCCAGCACAGTGTTTTTGCAAGTGAGATAGTGGAGAGTGAGATGGTGAGGCTGAGAGTCCAAGGAAGCAAGTCAAAGGGGCTACATGACCGATGGCACCACTGACCTTTGCAATTTCTGTGGTCAGTTGATCGACTCGGCTAAGATGGAACGTATCGTAAATGTTAGTTGGACCTTTTCCAAAGGGTTCAATTTGTATGCAGATGCACTCTGTTAACCTTGCAATAGTGCTTAGGGAATGCTATTGGAATGATTTCAGGTACACATGAGATAGCTTGTAACTTTTTTTATTGCCATGAGCCCTGCAATGTTTTACAAGCATTCTTAAAATGTAACTGCTTCAATTTGGTGGTGATAGCATCTAACGTACATCCTAATGACATTCATAGAACACTGGGTTCTTTGCACAATGGCTCTCCAACATCGCTGTCATTGTCAGGGAACATTCCTGGAATGTCTTGAGACCCACATATGGTTGTGTTAGAGCAGGCAAGTGCACCATTCAAGAGAAATCCACTTGGGAAGAATGAGGTGATTGGCACTTTCAGAGAAAAATGCTGCTAAAAATTCTGTTAATTATATTTTTCAAGAAATGCAATAAACCTATTACTTATCGAGATTATAATTCAGAACTTTGATATTTACAAATAAAATGTGGTTATATATGATGCTGTCCAGGAGACAGTAAGCCATTACCTTTTAGTGATTGATTATCAAACCAGAACTCTTTCAAAGTTGCAGCAGGCAAAGAGGCAAATATTTCAAAGAGTACTCTGTTTAGTCTGCTCTGAAAGTAGGTCTTCTAACTAGTGGACTGAGAGTTGGCAGGTATTGAAGCTGCTACAACTACCTCCAATACAACTGGCAGGTCACAGGTTGCAAAACAGTCTGATAAAGTTTGTATCGGACTGAGTTCAAGTGAATCTCTAGGCATTTTTGTTTAACTCCTATTAAATTAGGCAGTAAACCTGTATCAAATAAGGTCAACTGGATTAAGTGGGAATATTGAGCACATTAATTAGGACAGTATTTGGATAGAAGAGGAACCCACCACTAATGCTCCTCTAAGCTGTCAGGTAATTCGGGCTCACTCCTTTTTTTGAAGACAAGCAAAGGTGGAGGTAAACATTTTTAAATGTCATTTTTCAATTTTGTGTGCGGGACAGCTGTGCAAACTGGCTACATTGTTGTTTATTGTTCAGGAATTATTGTACCGCTCTTTAGTCGTTTCCCCTTCTTTTCTCACAAATTATTTCAGGAACTGTGTTGAGCAGCGGTGCACTCAAACGCTCTTCTCAGGGCAGGTTTTCTTTGGGTTAGGGCCCCCTTGGGTTTGTACAGTCCCATTCTTTAGCCCCAGTGCAGGATTAAGGAAGAACAATGGCAGAGCCACCGCTGGCAAAGCCAAGTTTGTGATGCAGCGACTGTGTTTGGACAGATGGGTTTGGGCACAAAAGAGCAACAGCAAATTCTCCATTGTTAAATCAACACTGAGTGTTTCATTTAACACTGGTCCAGTGTCTATATGGGTCCACACTTTTCAATGTTAAATTAACCCACTGCCTAATGTAAAGCCTTATTTGCATATTTCCCAGAGTGTCTTATCTTTCGAGTGAATTGTAGAGTTACCACCCATAACTGTATTTGTTAGTGACAAAGACATGGTTGTTGCATTCATCCATTTACAGTCCTGCAGCCTTCACCAAGTGAGATCTTAACTGAATATGTTATCATTAAAATGCAATTATTTAACACAATACAAGACATATTTCATGAGGCCTTTTTTGAGGGCCTAGTTTTACCCTAATACAGCGGCCTGAAACTCATGGTTTACAGGCCACATCAGTCGTGCAAGTCACTTTATGATGTCTTGAAAACTGATGTGTAATTCCTACTGGAATCCAGCCACAGTGGGGGTATCCAACATTTTGCATTTTTATTCACCCTTCAACCTGCATTCAGAATGACTGCCTGGTTGGGAAGATGAAGATATGAGACTACCTAAACCATCTAAACTGGAACAGCTATTTCAGTAACGTGTACAATAAATCCAAGTAACAGATTGGAATAGTTTAGAATAAATGATGTTATTTATATTTGAGTAGCATAAGATTAAATAATCAATCGATGTACATGCAAAAACATAGTTATTGAAACAAACACTTCTAAAAATCAGCCTGCAATAAAGCATGCTGGGAAATATGATAATGATGGGAGTAGTTTTGGTTTAGCACTGGTTATAAACACCAACACTTGGGTTCTTTTACACCAATTAGTGTTAATTTAACACTTGCATGGTTAATTCATAATATTTCCCCTAATGTTATTAGCCTACCCCCTCTTTCTCTTTCTATTGTTGCTTCATTCCTTCCTCGCTTTCAACAGTTAAATGAAATACGTTTCATTGTCCTTATCTTCATCATTCTAATGACATCCTTGAATAATTTGGACTAGAATTAGATGCAGAAGGCTTTCACTTCTCTTCACGGAGATTGAATGGTTATCGGTCTGAATATGTAACTGCTATAGCCTACCGCCATCACACGTTCACTGCTGTATTTAACATTCAGCAAACAAGAGCTTGCGTCCCTCTTCGAATAGTCTATTGGTGTAAGAAATGCTAAAGAAAAATAATGTCCAGCAAGCTATTCTAGTCTGGCTTTTCCTGCATGGGACTCCAAGAGCTAAAGAGCGTTTTTTTAAGGAGAGGCCAGCGGAGCACAGGTGCTTGTGTATTGTGCAAGAGACAGAGGCTACAGTGGGGGAAAAAAAGTATTTAGTCAGCCACCAATTGTGCAAGTTCTCCCACTTAAAAAGATGAGAGAGGCCTGTAATTTTCATCATAGGTACACGTCAACTATGACAGACAAATTGAGATTTTTTTTCTCCAGAAAATCACATTGTAGGATTTTTAATGAATTTATTTGCAAATTATGGTGGAAAATAAGTATTTGGTCACCTACAAACAAGCAAGATTTTTGGCTCTCACAGACCTGTAACTTCTTCTTTAAGAGGCCCCTCTGTCCTCCACTCGTTACCTGTATTAATGGCACCTGTTAGAAACTTGTTATCAGTATAAAAGACACCTGTCCACAACCTCAAACAGTCACACTCCAAACTCCACTATGGCCAAGACCAGGCTGGTAAGACTGAATCTGCAATAGGTAAGCAGCTTCGTTTGAAGAAATCAACTGTGGGAGCAATTATTAGGAAATGGAAGACATACAAGACCACTGATAATCTCCCTCGATCTGGGGCTCCACGCAAGATCTCACCCCGTGGGGTCAAAATGATCACAAGAACGGTGAGCAAAAATCCCAGAACCACACGGGGGGACCTAGTGAATGACCTGTAGAGAGCTGGAACCAAAGTAACAAAGCCTATCATCAGTAACACACTACGCCGCCAGGGACTCAAATCCTGCAGTGCCAGGCGTGTCCCCCTGCTTAAGCCAGTACATGTCCAGGCCCGTCTGAAGTTTGCTAGAGTGCATTTGGATGATCCGGAAGAGGATTGGGAGAATGTCATATGGTCAGATGAAACCAAAATAGAACTTTTTGGTAAAAACTCAACTCGTCGTGATTGGAGGACAAAGAATGCTGAGTTGCATCCAAAGAACACCATACCTACTGTGAAGCATGGGGGTGGAAACATCATGCTTTGGGGCTGTTTTTCTGCAAAGGGACCAGGACGACTGATCCGTGTAAAGGAAATAATGAATGGGGCCATGTATCGTGAGATTTTTAGTGAAAACCTCCTTCCATCAGCAAGGGCATTGAAGATGAAACGTGGCTGGGTCTTTCAGCATGACAATGATCCCAAACACACCGCCCGGGCAACGAAGGAGTGGCTTCTTAAGAAGCATTTCAAGGTCCTGGAGTGGCCTAGCCAGTCTCCAGATCTCAACCCCATAGAAAATCTTTGGAGGGAGTTGAAAGTCCGTGTTGCCCAGCGATAGCCCCAAAACGTCACTGCTCTAGAGGAGATCTGCATGGAGGAATGGGCAAAAATACCAGCAACAGTGTGTGAAGACCTTGTGAAGACTTATAGAAAATGTTTGACCTGTGTCATTGCCAACAAAGGGTATATAACAAAGTATTAAGAAACTTTTGTTATTGACCAAATACTTATTTTCCACCATAATTTGCAAATAAATTCATAAAAAATCCTACAATGTGATTTTCTGGATTTTTTTTCCTCATTTTGTCTGTCATAGTTGACGTGTACCTATGATGAAAATTACAGGCCTCTCATCTTTTTAAGTGGGAGAACTTGCACAATTGGTGGCTGATTAAATACTTTTTTCCCCCACTGTATATGTTAAAAGCTGATTATGCGTAACCCATCATCAATTAGCTAAAAATAAGGGTAATACTGCATTGAATGTATTACCTGAAAGTGGTAGGCTAGGACATCTATATATAGGGCTATACAGTATATCAAGAACAGGATGATCTATTTTGGATACAATTTGAATGGAGTTGATGGAGAGAGAAAAAGACTGCGAGAGTGTTCATGCATGCACTTATTTAAAGCAATGATATTCGAGTGATAGCCTGTTAAAAACTCTGCAGCTGCAATAATTTTTTTAATTATCTTTACAATTAAAAAACAAGGTGACCCCCGAAAGCCAGATGGAGATGGGTAAATTAGACATGCATTCAGTCCTTATTTTACAGTAGCATAGGCTATGCTGCAGCAAATGTAGGCCTACCTGTCACAAGAAAAATAGTTACCATGATGAAATGAGACTGTAGGTCTACATGCATTGTGAACTGCGCTCTATACTGAGATGGGCTGTCTGTCCCCACCATGAACGTTTATTCATCATGCAGATTCATCATGCCATAGAGAAGCCAAATTTAGACATCACATATAATTTTACAGTTCCATTTCACGCCATGCTGTTCATATAAATAATTTATCATGATTTGCCGGTTTCTCGCAGTTATTTATCCCGGGTTTTGGGCAATAAATCCCGATAAATCTCGGTAACCGGGTTCCCGCCATTCAACCCAGAGCCAAATAGAATATCCAGAAAGTGAGCTTTATGCGTTGTTGAGACATCACTTTGTAAAGATGTTCCTTTGTAAATGGAAGAGATTAGCTTAGACATTCAAAATGATCTGTTAGGAGAAAAACAGACCAGAACTTTACTATGCGTGAAGTCATGTCAAGCAAGGAAATTCTAATGATAGGTGTGCCATGCCTAAAATGACTCAGTCTGATTGATGTGGCCCTATCACACCCCATCAGACTCAGATGTGGCCGGTAGAGTCCAAGAACCAGACAGCAAAGCATTTACTTACGCTGAGCTCAGACTTGATTACAATGCTTTACTAATCTAATCCTTCGATCCTCTCTCTATTCTCCTCCTCTCTAGGCGACTCCCAGGGTATGGTCAACTTCCTCATTTCCAAGGAGGGCGGCGAGCTGTCTCTGGTGGACCAGGCTAATGTATGGATCTTCCTCCGGCTGGCCAAGACCAATCGCAGCCGTGCCAAGGTCACTATACGCCTGTTGCAGCAGCGCCTTGGCGGAGACGGCCATGAAGAGTCAGTGCCGGTGCCACTGGCCGAGAAGGCGGTGGACACACGGCGCAGTGGCTGGCACACTTTCCCCGTGTCGGCCAGCGTCCAGGCCCTGCTGAAGGGCGGCGGCAGCATGCTCAGTGTGAGGGTCTCCTGCCCGCTGTGCGCCAATGCTGGCGCCACGCCCATCTTGGTGTCGACCAGTGGCAACCAGGAGCGTGAGCAGTCCCACCGGCCCTTCCTCATGGCGGTGGTGCAGCAGGGCGAGGGCGGCGAGCCACGGCAACGCCGCAAACGGGGCCTGGAGTGCGACGGCAAGGTGCGTGCTTGCTGTAAGCGCCAGTTCTACGTCAATTTCAAGGACATTGGCTGGAGTGACTGGATCATAGCGCCGGGGGGCTACCACGCCAACTACTGCGAGGGCGACTGCCCCAGCCACGTGGCCAGCATCACAGGCTCCTCGCTCTCCTTCCACTCCACCGTCATCAACCACTACCGCATACGGGGCTACGCGCCCTTCCAGAACATTAAGTCGTGCTGCGTGCCCACGCGGCTACGCGCCATGTCTATGCTCTACTACAACGAGGAGCAAAAGATCGTCAAAAAGGACATCCAGAACATGGTCGTAGAGGAGTGCGGCTGCTCGTAAAAGCCTGGCGGAACTGGTGGGGCTGGGAGGTTGGTCTCATGCCCAGAGAGACAGAACTAAACGAAAGAGGCCCTTTATCTCTCTCTCTCTCTTGCGTGCAAGACACTTGTCAAGACCGACTTCTATTTGGATTCAATGACTTGCTTGTTCTCCATTGTTGTCAAGTCCAGGGGGGTATCTATAACTCAGAGAAAACTCTGCGGCACTTTCAAAAAATAAAATTAAAAGAATATCTAATATATTTTTGTTACTAAACAAAGGGAGGGAGGTGAGAGGATATTTATGTGACCCAGATGTGGTGTAGTTGCTCCTTTCATGCACTGCAAGACGAGAGACCATGCGAATGAGGTGCCTGAAAAATATACAAACTATGCAACTTGTCAAGTATTACGATTAATTTCAGTTTTTTGCCTCTTTCATTTTCTCAACTGTTTACTTTTTCTAAACTAAAAAAGAGGAAGACTTTTTTTGAGTGTGTGTGCATGTGTTCATTATGTGTACATGCGTGTTTGTGTGTGTGAGTGTGTGTTGTTGAGAGATACTTGAAAGAAACACGTTGGACCAGATGCTGGAACCAAACATTTCTCTATGTACAATTATTATAATTTGTTATTGATGATAATATTATTGTTTGATGTTTTTGTTACATTTTTGTTTAAAAACGTTACGAACGTTTTCAGTTTGCACTATACTAACATTCTGATCAGCCTAGTCACAAATATCAATGGTATTCTAAGAGAGGTTAAAAAGCACTTATGAATCGAAAAATCTATAGAGAACGTGAGTTTAAAACAGAGATAACGAGAAAAAAAGACGAGATATAATTTAGAGAACACATAGATGTATTACTACAGCATTTTTTGTTCACACCAAAGAGTTTGTGTAAGTATTGCCAACCATCATTGTGAGGCTGTTACAGATCACATGTCAGCATTAGCATAGCCTAGCATCAGTGCCCAAACATTCCTTCTGCTCCTGCACAATGACTTCATTTCCCATAATGCTCCACTCTAACCTATATTTTTCAAAATACTATCTTGTTGGAGAGCGGCTTATAATTGTATTATTATAATTTAATTATAATTTGATTATTATTGTAAAAGCACTTACTGTAGGCCAATGTTGTCGCGTTTTGTCAGAAAATGAATGTCTCCATTGAATTTGGAAGTCTGAAATATGTTTCCTGAAATTCTAATTAAAAGAGTTTCATATTTCAAAATATCTCGCCAAATATTGGAAGGTCCCATCTTACACCAAGTAAACGTTTTTGTTTGGAGAGTTGGTTTCTTTCGCTTGCCTTCATACAACATTGTACATGGTCCAATGTCTAAAATGAAGCAATTAGAAACTTTGGTAACACTTTATTTTACTGCCCGCTGTTTACCAGCTAATTATTTAGAAATTACTTAATAATTACATAGTAATTATATTTTGGCTTCTTTGAGATTCATTTACACAAGCTTCACTATGTAACATTTGGTACTAGTTAAAGCAGGTAGTTACCAGTATTATGGATATCTATTTCAATGTTGATAGTGTGGAAGTACAAGCAAGTATCCATTGCGCATAGTTTCTTAGTTAATACCATGTCAAGTGTACCAGTTTAAAATGGGCTGTAAAATAAGTGTTACCGAAACATTCCACACAAAGTTTTGTCTTGCAGTATAGACTCATTTAAGAAACACATTAATGTACCTTACAGTGTGCATTAATGTGCATGCAACATCAATAGAGAAAAATATATAAAAAGTTGTTGTATTTGTTTTCATTTTCTTTTATCAATACAAAAGAATTGACACTGAAACAAGTGGACTTAGAATAAAACATATATTTTTTATTCTGTATATATTGAAATGCAGATACCAATATGTTGCATTGCTTTGTTGTACAAATCAAAAATGTGCTTGTGGCAAAGTTTTTTTATCTAATTTATTTTGCAGTATTCTTTTTTGTTTCGCTTCACCATTAAAGTTAAAAGGATGTACACTAAAACAGAAATGTGTTGTTTCTGGTTTTGTGCAGTTTCTGAAAAGGTGTTCTACGCATGTTCAGTCCAGTATATTTCAGTATATTTGGCCTTGTGCGTGAGCACACACACACACACAGACACACACACACACACACACACACAAACACACACACACACACACACACACACAATTAGGAAATGAGTCTCAGAGAAAACCGTCTATCAGAGACTAATTCAACTCAACAGAACAGCTTTGCTTTCCACATAATTGTTTTATTAGATGTATTATTATTGGTGTTGAGTTGAGACATTGGTGAGCCCATTCACACAAAACACCAATGAGAGCAACATGAAAACCAAGGACAGGCAGATGTTATGGAGAGGATATTTTACGTGCAAAAGCTTGCATGACTACTTACTCACACAGCATATGGTGTCTTTCGTGCGTAGACCTCAGCCAGCTCAGTTTACATTGATGAGGTAAGACAAGAGCCGAAACGAGCGAGACAGCAGGGGCATGGCTAGGAAGGAAATGGCCTAGCCATAAGGACAGCCTTGTATATCCTATCCACTGCCCACGGAATGTGATGTAATGTGGGGGGTGGGGCTTGCCACAAACATCTACTCACCCAACGCATAACATTAGACAGACTCACAGATTCCTCTTCTCAAAAGTGGAAAGAAACTCTAAGACAGCCAAATTGGTCTTTGTCAAGATGACATAAAGCTGTGTGTCAGGCAGACTGTTTAAAAATAGAGCCGCCCCCACTTAATGACAAGGGGGACACCAAAATGGCTTGCAGATGATCATACTTCAATAGCTGAGGATCAGAGGGCCAGCAAAACCTCAGAAGGGTGTTCCCTTTGGGTGAGCAGAAGTTGTGGGCCACAGCCTTTTGATGGTCATTCATTTAAGAAGCTTAAACCGGTGTGTTGTGCAAGCCTTTGCTGTTGCGACACAGCTATTGGTGAAGGTCAACCTCAAACAGTGCAGATCCACCATCTTCCACTTCTTGTTCAAAGCATTGTATTCTCTTTTTCCTTAATACCCACACATACACAGGATCACACACTCACGCTCGCTACTTCCCAAACACTGGCAAGACAATACAATGTAACTTACATAACAGTGGGTGTAAGAACATTCAAAGGGTCAAAGTTTTAGGAAATGTATTTTGTGAAGCGTGTGTGTGTAATAAAATTGTGTGTGACTTTTGAAATGTTTGAATCTTTCTTGTTTGAATACTTCAAATTAAAAAAATATTTTACAGCATCAATTTGTTTTCTTACTGGCATTGAAATCTTTGGCTAATTGTGCAAAGATCAATCCAGGCAAAATGGCTTCCTGCAATAATGGAGCAATGCCGAAAGTGTTTGTTTAGAGGAGCGGCTGAAGCGCGCACTAGATTAAATCAAAAACATGGGTTATTGCAACGGTCTTTGTCTGGCAACTTTCTACTTCCACAGCTTGATAAAAATATAATTTGTGGATTCAAATAAAATATTTCAAGTGTGTGTGTGTGTGTGTGTGTGTGTGTGTGTGTGTGTGTAAGTGAATGTGTGTGTGTGCATGAGTGCATGTGTGTCAGGCAGTGGGTGGACATAAGGTGTGAACTTTGAAGTGAGATTAGACATTGTCTTGTTCTGTAAACAAAGTTTTTTTTTTATTGCTAATTGACACAGGAGTACACAAAAAGGCGCTTTAGAGCTGTAAACCTCAGCTCTTCTGAAGCTGAAGACAAGACAAGACATAGAGCGTCGATACTTTCAAGATAAGACTTAGTACTTTCAATCATCGACAAATGTCACTCTTTTACGGCAGCTGCTAAATGGCTGTCAACCATTTAATCGCTGCGTTAATAGGTCTACATGTAACCTGTGCTGTTTTTGAGACAAAATGTAGAGGAGATGGGTGCTCTCAGGTTATATTTCGTATCAATCAAAGCACATCGTTATTTGATTGCATAGACTGTGGAGAGTTTTTGGGTGAGAAAAAAGTGCGACCATTCTACACAATCAGCCTGCAGTCTCATTTTACCGAATATGGAATATCGTCTTTGGTCTACTTTAACATACACTGAGTGTACAAAACATTATGAACACCTGCTCTTTCCATGAAATAGACTGACCAGGTGAATCCAGGTGAAATCTATGATCCATTATTGATGTCACCTGTTAAATCCACTTCCATCAGTGTAAATGAAGGGGAGGAGACAGGTTAAATAATAATTTTTAAGCCTTGAGACAATTGATAAATGGATTGTGTATTTGTGCCATTCAGAGGGTGAATGGGAAAGACAAAATATTGAAGTGCCTTTGAACAGGGTATGGTAGTAGGCGCCAGGCACACCGGTTTGAGTGTGTCAAGAATTACAACAATGCTGGGTTTTTCATGCTCAACAGTTTCCCGTGTGTGAAGAATGGTCCACCATCCAAAGGACATCCAGCCAACTTGACACAACTGTGGGAAGCATTGGAGTCAATAATGGGCCAGCATCCCTGTGGAACGCTTTCGACACCTTGTAGAGTCCATGCCACAATGAATTGAGGCTGTTCTGAGGGCAAAAGGGGTTGAACCTTAAAATGTCAACTGTTAACATCAGGATGTTGCATATGCTGCACAGACAAATGGAACCAGTAGAGTGAAATTAGAATGGTTAGACACAAAGGTAACTTTTCATATGGTTCCCTGAAAAAATTTAAAAAAATAACAGAACCATGTGTTGTATGTTGGGGTTGTGCCGCAGAGCATCATCAGAGTTGTGTTATGTTGTGACGATCACATTCCAAATAAATGATTGAACTAATTCCTGCCTCCAGTCTCATCATTATTGAATTGTTATAAATTTGAAATGTTTACATTTTAGTCATTTAGTAGATGCTCTTATCCAGAGCGACTTAGTGAGTGCATACATTTTTCATAAAGACCTGGATATGAAAACAACGAGACATAACAAAAAATTGGCAGCAATCAAGTCTGAACCCACTGTTATTATTCTGTCTGGAATAAGTATATATTTTTTGGTTTAAA